GATCACCCCTGATGAAGACACTAGACTGGAGTGTCGAAACGTTGGGTCTTGATTACAATTCGACTGGGCTTTGTAATCATTTATTTAAACCAGAGTAGCGAGCGAAACATGATATATGTTAACCACTGTCCAAGTCTCCCATCATCGGGGACAAATTTATAATCAAAACTGACCACTTTCCCTGTTAAACCTTCCGCCCCTCCCCGGTTGGGGGGAGGGATTTACATTGACTGGTGCATAACTAGATGATTGCATGAAGCATTGCATGGAAGTTGATTTATAATTAGTTTATGAATAAACTCACACTTTCATTATAATGGTTGATCAAATATATCATATGGCCAAATAAAAATAATAGTTGGTTTCAGGTTTCCGACCGACCTGTCAAAAATATGACCGACCATAAACATTTTATTGACTTTTCCCATTAGAGATCGTAAATAGCCGAATATATAAATAGTCATTAGACTTGTTTATCTACAAATTATTTTGTTTGCTTATAATTTAATCATACAGTCATGTTAATCCTAGTTTTACACAAAGAACAGTTGAATAAAATATTAAAAACGTATCTGAAATGGCAGCTACTGCTGAAAAAAGGCGAAAACGCCTTGATGCGTTTTTTTCCCGTGAAAAACATGTAGGTCACGGGTTATCCTGTTATTGCATACTTGATATAAAATATTTTTTAAATAAAATGTTTTTCCGACCTATCTACCCATATAAAACATGGCTGTGAAACCTGAAACCAGCTATTTTTTTATTTGGCCTATGCATTTGATTGGTTGATGGTCCCTTAATGGTAGTGGTAGTCAAATCTGAACCTATATGTCAATATACTGGAAAAGTATCAAATTAAATTTTAATTGTCAATGTTGTGGAAAGTAAATAAATCAAACAATTCTGTTTGTTTCAACTAACTAGTTCACTATCACTTTGGTTTTCAAATCAAAGAATCTTTAACCTGGTTGAGCTTTTGAAAAAGTAACTGATTGATTGAACGCAAGATTAGTTTACTCTGTCTAACGCCAGACAATTTCACTCGTCAAGGGGAAAGTGCTGCCACTCAGTGAACTCAATCAGAGCTCAATGAGCAGCAGCACTCTCCCTCGATAAGTAAAATCATCTGGCATTATATGAAGTGAAATAAACTAGTAAAGTAGGGTGCATTGCGGCACAATGCAGCTTACTGGGTTAACTGGAAAATATATTTATTAAACAATGTACACCCTATACTTGTATTTCAATTCACAGCATGATTTAGTATGCTTATGTATATTTGACCCAAGTACCTGACAGGAATGATATTTGAATCACACCAGTATTCATTGAACAAAGCTAATTTAAATGTACATTAATTGTACATGAACCATGTAAATGTAAAAACTAGCTAGAGCAAAAACACACCCACACAGCTTTGTTTTTTTTTATTTTTCTTGAGAAGGATTAACTGAGACTACTGAGTTACAATGAGACCAGTATCAACAATTTCAAAAAGGTATTGTACAAAAATATTACAAACATAAGACACTTTAAAGACAGAAAAAACACGAAGTATGTCACTACAGAAACTGTATTCTGTGATATAGATGATATTGCTTTAAAGAAACTTGCAGCTTTTAGCAGTTGTGTGAGGGCCTGTTTATATCGAAACTGGCTGGCCTGCTAAGTGAGACAGCCCGGTAAGTGAGATCTCGCTGTCTAGTTATTTTTATAGTACAAATTATCATTTCTATGGACAAGCGGGCAGGCCCGGTTGCCAAGACCAGGATGGAAATTTCTCCACATAAACAATCATAAGCAGGCTAGCCCGGTTGCCGGGATGAAAGTTCAAAGATACAGCCGCAAGCTATTTTTGACAACTGTCAAAATAATGTCAAAACAACAAAATTGTCCCGGTAAGCGGAATGAAATTTTCTCAAATAAACACAAGAGAAATCATCCTGCTTACCTACCTTACCGGGCTGTCTTGCTAAGCGGGCCAGCCCGGCTTCCATACAAACAGGCCCTAACAGTCTCTGTCAGGCAATTACAATGTTCTAATGTCCAAACTCTAAAGTATTATAAACAAGCAGAACAGACCACTTATTGCAAGTTGTTGTAAGTCATATCAACATGTGATCTCGACAATATACAGTGTATAAACTAAAGTAATTCAGCTTCTACACATGAAGCGACTTTAAACACTATCCTTACACTTTATCAATTCATTGAAGTTTGTTTTTGTACTTAAAAGACATTTTATTTGTAGTATTAAATCATAAGACATATTCTATTTGTAGTATCAAGTCACATCAGGATTTTATAATCTAGCGTCTTTGGACCCAAGGAATCTAGAGTTCTATCTTGTTAAAACCTATCACCAAGGAAAAACAAGAAAGGGATATTGAAGTAATGGTGTTTTTGAGCCAAATAAATTCGAATATCCACAAGTATAAAAGCAGAACTCCGTATATACCGGAGACAAAATGGCATCATAGCAAACACATTTTAATGATGCTCAAATTTATATTCAGTGCGCTATATTTTTAAAAATATGACCCTGTTTGCTTTCTAAATACAACAAAATTACTGCTTTACCTTCTGTTCAAATAGTTCCACAGATAAATCGAAGTCACAATTCGTGCTACTTGAAAAAAAAGCTGTTTTTACTGTAGAAATGACAACTTCCCAATATAATTTTCTATTGTCAACACTGCATTACACTTGTTTAGCTCGCGCATGCGCAGTATAAAAGATGGGACATGTTTCCGCTTGAGTAAGACTTCTGGTCCTATTATCTATTCTGTGGTGGTGCGATGCAATTTTCGCTGAGTGGACTTGATGCAGCAGCCAATCATATTATTGAATGTTAGCACGTGATGGTGTTATGCAACGCTAATCTCTGAACCCTATATAATCATGTCCATATTTAGACTGCCAAACACGCATGATTGACACGTGCTGCATGTGTGGTTTTAGCACAGACCTGACAGTGTATTTAATTATACTTGCGAGTGTACTACGATGTTTTCAGTGTACTGAGTGTAGCAGCAGTAGCACCTTAAATACAGTCGCTATATATAAATGAGTGTACCGTCTAAATACTGTAATATCCGAACTGAATTGAATGCCCGTAATGAATAACATGAATGCCTAGAATCTCAAAGATTTTCTCAATAACGTCTGAAACGTTTATACATTTGAAAACAACACTGTCGCTAATCCTAGCTCTGTATAATGAATATACCGTCTACATATATCAGTACTTGATTCAAAGACCGTCTTGCATAACATAAATTTATATATTGCGTATATTCTCAAAGATTTACTCAATATTCACGTCTGAAATGTTTATACATTTGAAAACAACACTGTCGCTCCTTCCTAGCATCGTGATCTACGGCTTCATAGCGCATGCGCATTTGCGCTGCTATAGAAAAATCGGGTGTTCCGGGGGAAAGATCCTTTACACAACATATGAGAAGCGTATGGTGATCAAACGGCATTTTGTTGGGTGCTTTTAGCATTATACGGCGGTGCTTTCGGCATTATACACGGTGCTTTCGCCATTATACGCGGTGGTTCCCGCATTATACGCTGTGGTTCCAGCATTATATACGCGGTGCTTTCACCATTTATATACGCGGTGCTTTTGCAATTATACGTAGTGGTTCGAGCACTATATGCGGTCCTTTTAACATTATACGCGACGCTAGCTTTCATTCAACATTATTTTCATATTCTTTCCCTGACATGTATATGATTTAACGATTGCTTAAATTTGGTATGTGGTTGATGAATGCTTTTTGCCTATGGTCCGCAAAGACAATGACATGCTTTTCTGTGTATATAAATGAATATAACGCAGCGAATGCGCCCAGCAGTAATAAACGCGCGGCTGAAATACGATATTAAAAATCTTGAATGTGCCGCATGATTTAATTATGTTTTAAGGTTTACAAGTGCTTTGTCATTTGGTGTTTATAATTGTAGTATTGTACTGCATCACAAGGCAGTACGTAATGAAAAAATTTCACATGTGAGATTGTCTTGTATATATTTTTGCTTTCTTTGATAAACATTATTAATAAACACGCAAATTCTAATTAGTGAGACGCAATGTTAAATGTCACCTGCATGTCATTGTCATTGCCCTTTAACCCCTGGTCTAATTGGCCGCTTTTGAAAATGTTGATCATGACGAACCGCACTTTTGTGTTTTAAAAGCGAGTTAGGATAAACTGCGGATACGGACGGACGGATGAATGACGGACGGATGGCGACGGACGGACCGGGCGGATAACATATATATGTCATTATATAGTCTGCGCGCAGCCGCGCAGGGTAGTTAGTGGCTTACATCTTCGCTGGTTGTTATACTTTAAAATAATTTTGTATTTACCGAGAAATCAATATTCCGAGTATATACAGTAAATATATAAACTGGGATGTCACACTGATAGTTTGTTTACATTTGCTGGAGCATCAAATCTTACTGCGATTTCCACTTGATTATGGAATTACGAAAGTTTGTTCGTAGAGTTTGTTCGTTAACTTGTGTCGTTTGAAAACAATGTTTGTGACGTCATTCTATAATGTTACCAGGCAAGCACACAATGTTGTCAAGTAAAAACCGTTAAAAACTGTCAATCATTACAAAACGAAATAAAGTTTCTATTTATAGTCGTGAACTTGGCAGTATTTTACTTGACAACATTGTCAGCTCGCCTAACAACATTATAGAATGATGTCACAAACATTGTTTTCAAACGACAAAACTTGACGAACAAACTTTCGTAATTCCATACTCAACTGGAAATCGCAGTATGTTTAACCACGGTGGTTTAACCCATTAGCTGGCAATGCGCCAGTCCCTTGTCCAGCGCCAGAAAATTTTACTCGTCAGGGGTACAGGGTACTGCCAGTAAATGGGTTAACAAACCTATCTGCCAATGTCTCTTGTTAATCCATCAGCACAGTAATTACTTTAGTATTTACCCTGTCCAACGCCAGACGATTTTTAATACTCAGTCAGTGGTAGGGCCGTGCTGTCAACAAATGGGTTAACAAGGATAACAATAGCCTGCTTAACGGCTATCAGAGAAAGGACAAAAATAGGATGTTTCTGAAGGACTCGTTCAACACCCTGTAGTTTGTCTTTTGCTGTCAAAGGCAGCATTACTGCCCTGTGGGTAACCTAGTAATAGTTGGTATAAACCACCCAATACAACACTTGAAATATCCAATGCATTCGAGGATTTAACTAGAGGGCACTCAGAGACTGCATACCTCCGCCTATGCGCAAAATATTGAAGTAATCTATTGTTATTAGAATTTGGATGGCTGGTGCATATATTATGCACGTCCTAATTACGCATTCAGTATAAAGTTTTATTTAATTGACCGGGAAAAGCAAGACAAACTTTTGTTATTTCTCATTCAATTTGTAACCAAATTCAACCAAATTTTAATCAGTTCTTCCTTAGCAGTACGGATATGTTTGGTATTTCATGAGTTATCGTGCTCACAGACAACACACACACACACACACACACACACACACACACACACACACACACACACATACACACACACACACACACACATACACACACACACATGAACGACAGAGTCGTATTCATTCGTATGATAGATGTTTTCTATTGGCTATGAGATAAATTCATTATAATTACTGACGGTCATAATAACCTATTGTTTTCTCTCTGCATTATATCAGCGAATGTCGAGAAGTTTTAGCGTTCTTCTGAAAAACGGGAGCGGTCTTTTTTGATTGTAGGGAAATTCCCAGGGGTAAATGTTTATACGGGCTAAAATAGCACACAACATTATTAAAAATAATGCAACGTGCACACAGCATTATTAAAAATAATGCAACGTGCACACAGCATTATTAAAAATAATGCAGCGTGCACACAGCATTATTAAAAATAATGCAGCGTGTATCAGTGCACACAGACATTATTCGCAATCCTTCGTCATCCTGACAAGTACACGCGATAACGTGAACATCTCAAGATGAGAAGTTGACAGTGCTAAAGGCCCCTCATATAGTCCAGGAGGAGAAAGGGGGGTATCATAACCCAAGCAGGGAATTTATGAGAATATGTGACTTTGGTCAATTTTGGGGCGCTGATTGCAAAAATCGATGTTATACGGGCCAATACCGGGGCCTTCAGCCTCGTTTTGATGCAAATAGCCTCGTTTTGGGGCATACATAGGGAACACGTTAGTTGTCTTAGTTAGCTAGGGAAACCAGTGATTTTGGTCAATTTCGGTGCGCTGATTTCAAAAATCGATGTTACACGGGCAACTACCGAGGCCTTCAGCCTCGTTTTGGTGCATGCAGCCTCGTTTTGGTGCAAATAGATGGAAATCATTAGTTAGCTTAGATAGGCAAAGTCGTTGGTGATCTTGGTCAATTTCGGTGTGCTGATTTCAAAAATCGACGTTACACAGCAAAATAGCGAGGCCTTCAGCTTCTTCTTTGGTGCGTATAGCCTCGTTTTGGTGCCTACATATGTGCCTTAGCTAGCCAAGGAAGTTTGTGATTTTGCTCAATTTCGGTGCGCTAATTTCAAAAATCGAAGTTATATGCGTAGATATATTGGAACCTCTAGCCTCCGTTTGACACACATATCCTTGATTTAGTGGAACTATTGGGAAGATCCTACTTAAACAAGCAAGAAAACTAGTGATTTCTGCTCTTTTTGATAAAAAGCAATACTGTTGCCCCATTAAATTGAGGTCATGTTATGCATTGCATTAAAAAACATGTACATTCTGATCACAAACCTTGCACTTTCGTTTTCAAATTCACTCGTGTCTTCAATTTCCACATCCAAATCATCCTCGTAGTCATCATCGGAGGACAAACTGTTCTAACTCTCCGTGCCTGCGAGTAGCGCATCAATCTCCCCGGGATAGGAAATGTCACTCCAGACAACGCTTCCATCTCCGTCCCATCCATGCTCGTCGGGGCTCTCGAGTTCTACTAGCAGCTGATCGGCGTGTCAAAAGATGTCGGCGACATAGTTAGCTCTCATGATGTGATGATGAAGATTTGACTGTCATAGTGGCATTAGACAAAGAACAATGATCTTTTTCTTGTTGAACTTGTTCCAAAACACTTTCTTCCTTGCCTCATTGACTGAAAGGATACGTGGATGCTCGTATATAGAACAGACGAACCATTCTAAACCCCGAACCAACTCCTCGCTTGCTGTCACCTCCGTACCCAAGGATGAAAATAGATCGATAAAGGCAGTGTTCTTGGTCACAGCTTTCCACACGGCCTGCTTTTGCTTTCGAAAAAGGCTAGATACATAA